GTGGGGCCTCAGCTCCAAGCTGGCCTGGCTCTCAGTGGCAGCACCTGAGAAAACAAGTACAAAGCCCATATGTGGGGCCAGGAAAAAGTCCTTATGACAGCAACAAGAGGTACACAGGTAGCAACAGCAGCCGCATCCGGCAGTGGCAGCCTCCTGGGCTCCGGCCACAGCACTGACCTGCTGCCCACCAGAAGCCCTTTCAGCTTTTATATGGTTTTTAGATAAGCCGGCACAGGGCCAAGTGTAAGCCTAGCATGTTTTTGTGTGTAAAAACCGTTCATCAGGGGTACATATCATTCCTGCTCTCCACACGTGCGGATCACATCTCAAGGCTACATGTATCTACCTGTGCTGGAAGTCAGAAAACTCGATGTTTATTCACAGACCCTATAATGTGTTGTTGAGCAAAAGAAGGCTGGGTGAAAGGAATGAAACTCGATGCAGTGGCACCGTGCAGAAAGCAACTGCAAGGTTCCCTTGACCTTAAACAGTGATGTTTGCACAGCCCTTGGCCTCCGCCTCTAATATGTATGTTTATGAAAATTGCTGACTTTTCAATAATTCTGGCTTCATGAGTGCATCCCAGCTCTTCTCTCCCTCTACTTGACTCCTTTGAAAGTCCTTGTATTGATGATAAGTGTAACCTTGTGTAGGGTAAATGAAGATGTTCATTTTACGCCGCTGGCCTCTGTGGCTATCATCTGAGACTTTGACTGTGCTAATGTGGGAGGTGCTTGGAAATGTGGGCCCGGGGTACACGAACCTGATGGTGGACCCTGGAGCATGGGCATGCATAAGTGGGCACACCTGAGCCAAGAGATGGAGGCTATCAGGGCAGCATCACACAGAGGACGGCGCGCAGCGGAGGGGCATAGAGAAAGGCCAGGAAGAGACCCCAGGAAGAGCCCAAGGAGTGTAAAGATTCGACGGGGGCCGGATAGGCCTGGCAGCCCCCACTCCCCGAGCCCCTGCCTGCCTTGTTCCTGGTTGCCTCCCAACCCCTTTTTGCAAATCTGTTGGCAGAATGTGGGAGGGGGGAAGGACCAGTGAGCTGTTAATTGTGGAACATTTGATGGATCCAGAATTTTGGGATGATCCCACGCTTACCTAAAGCAACTACAGCTATCGTGACCCCCTTTCCATTCTAACAGCATTAACCTCATACACTTATAGATGGTGCACTTGACGTTCCAGATGAGGCACAGAGATTGGTGGAAACCGTGTCCTCCGTGGGCTGGTGCAGCCACAAAAACAGTCCCAGCTCCTCTCTGATGTCATCTGAGGAATAATGTGCTAAAAATACCCTCAAGGCTCTGCTTTTACCCCAGATCTATTTTGACTAGCAAAGCCTGGCACTGTTTACAGGAGAGAATGGGGAGCGGGTTTGGAATGGGGCGTCAGCCTCCTGCTCCTGACTTGCATTTTAATAAGCCACCTGACAAGATCAACAGGAAGAAAAGAGAAATTGTGAACAGGTGTGAGGGAGTCTGAGCTGGCCTGCCTCTCCCTCCCCTTAGTCAGGTTGGTGCGCTGTTCACACACTGGCTCCTCCAAGTAGCCCTGCTAATTGCCTCCAGTTGGCATCTGATGGAGGCATCGAAAGCCTCACATTCATCCCTCTGTGCCTGAAACAAAAGGAAAACAGGATTTCTGTAGCCGTGGTCTCACTCCCTAGCCCAGAGAGCTGCCACGGGGGCTGCAAGGCCCTGGGCATGAGTAGATGCCACTGATGGCTTGTCTCTTTCCAGATGGACACCTCAGTCCCGGCGCCAGCCTTGGAGAAATTTGACAGGCGGTTTTTAAGTATCAGCTTTGTACAAATTGTGGCTTCTCTCAGGGGCTGGCTGGCTGTTGTCTTATACCATGATGGATTGAGTGCAGTGTGTTGTGTCAGTTATCACAATGGGTCTGGCTCTGCCATCCTGTTTGTTTTTCCTTCTTTTGTGTCCAGTCCTATTGCGTGCCTCTCACCCAGTGCTGGCTCGCCAGCGCAGTTGTTAGTGACATATTAAATTTATCCTTTTCCTAAATGGGTGGTGATTCTGTCTGGAGGTAAACAAACCAAAAACACAAAAGGTCTATATTTGGGACAATGCTGCTTTGAAAACCATGCAGGCCGTAGCTTCTCCAGTTCATCGAAGAGAAATGTTAGAAAAATATTAATAGTTTGCCCACTGCTTTCAGTTTAGTTGTATTGTCTGGAGGAAGAAGAGGGAAATGAATTCTGAGGTGGTGAAGTGTGCAGACTTGTCTGCAGGCTCTGGAGTGCAGAGGGACCTGCGCTCTGAGGTGGGCAAAGGACTGTCTCTCTGAAGGTTTTGCTTAGGTCCTAAGATGTTGTGCTCTCCCAATCCTACGTGAGGATTTGGGGTTCAATAGGCAAAAATCATTGAATACACTGGAATTGTGCTTGTAATATGTGTGAGGAGGAGGGGGGAATTTATATTTAAATAATTAGAGACACGATGTCAGCAATTAGGAGTACAATTTAATTTAGTTACAGGTTAGTCATTATCCCTGTGAAACATATTTAAAAATATTACTGTCCCAAATTGAAAGTGGAGAAGTACTTCTTTAACTTTTATTTTTTCCCTTTCTCTCATTGTAGATGTGATTTGTTGGTATCTTTTTTATTATTTTTTTTAAATTTTTTTATTTATGTGTATATGCATACACATATGTACATACAAATGTATGTGTGGGTGAAGTAATCTTATTTTATATCCTTGTAAATTGTTTCACTACGTAGGATCTCTCCTCTCAGGTGTGGTCACCTTAGTTCTCTTTTCACCAAAACTCCCATAGTCCTTCACCATAGCCATTGTGCTCGCCACCCCACCTCATTCCCACCTTTTTCCTTCCTTCCCCCCCACCCCCGCTCTCCTCCTAGATGCTTCGAGTCCAGTCTGCCTTTAGGAACTGTTTTTATAGTTTGCCTTTGTCTGATGCTTTGTTTCATTTCTTTGTAGTCCACATATAAGTGAAACCATCCAGCATTTATCTGTCTCTTTCTGGCTCACTTTACTTAGTATAATCCTTTCCAGCTCTATCCATGTTGCTGCAACTGGCAGACATTTATCTTTTGACTGCTAAATAGTATTCCATTGCGAATATATACCACTTCTTGATCCACTCTGTTCTGGGGCATTTAGGTTGTTTCCATATCTTGGCTATTGTAAACAGTACTGTTATGAACATGGGAGTATGGTGCTTTTCCAAATGCTGAGTAAGTAATCCTTGATTATGTGTGCCAATTTCGATCATTTACCCTCACTTTTTTTCTCTTCTGAATACCATGTTGAGATATGAAATCCTTTTGTTTTCTAATTGTGGGTCAGAATCCAATAGTTGACTTGTTAACACATTTAGAATTGGTATTCCTAAAGCATTCATTACCCTAAACCCATACCAGTCTCTCTAATTTCTTTAGAAAGAAGCAGAATCGCTAATTACCTTGAGATGGGAAACAGTTGACTCAGCCATGAATATAAAATTATTATTCATATATATGTATTGCATTGATAAAGATTTTTTTTTGGGGTGTAGAGGAACTGGGGTTTAGGCCAGAAGTACAGGGGGTGAGGGAATTCACCAGAGACCAAGTGGGGAGCAGGAGAGGCATTCTATGCCATATATGAGTTAGTTCCCTGGCCAGGGTTGGAACTTAGGCCCTAATGGTGATAGCACTGTGGCTTAACCCCTAGGCCACCAGAGAGGACCATAAAGATAATTTGGAGACATGTTACTGTAAAAAAATGCCATTGGAGGTAATGTGTTAAAAGGAATAGTATAAAGAAGCTTGAAATTATATATAAAATGGTATTATAAATAAGAGGAAAAACAGAAACAAATATAGTCATTGTACCAATTAATCATAAGGATAAGAAAATGTATTGCAATTTCCTGAACTGAAATACAAGCTCTTTTAACATTAGACATTGTAGCCAATGTATATATGTCCACATATATATGAATACTAATTTCATGTTGATGGCTGAACATGTCTATGTCTTTTAGGTAACTTATCATAGACATTATTCCATTCTATATATTAGGCAATCATCAGTTTTTTGGTGGATGTAATTTTCTGGAATTTTTGTGATTTTTTTTTTTTTGGAAGAGAAAGAGTAGGGCTCACTTGTGACCATAGTGTCCCAAGACATTTCCTGCTGGCAGGAATCTGATAAAATGGCATCATCAACAAACTTCTACCATGGGAAGAACTTCAGCCGCAAATCCTGAGTTCGTGCTATGACTTGTATTTATGTTAGTATTTATTGTACCCTTCTTCTGACCGTTGAAAAACCTGGTCCTTTCCATGGCCACCAAACTTCCCAGGCTTGTGTGGTAATAATACCTACCTGCTAGACCCTTTAAGTAGTATATTTTTGCATGTGTGTGACTTTGAGAGAGGTTAAAGTTAGTGTGTAGCAGGAAATAATTGCAGAGTGCCCCACATTTAACATAGGAATAACATAGCAAAACTTCAGTTTCCTTATTTTTGATGTTTGTTTAATTAAACTAGCCTTAAACAATACTTTGTTACTGTGAAAGAGAAAAATTAAGGTGTGACTGTACTCTGAAAATTGTTGGCATTGGCATTTTGAACTAATATTCTCATAGATAAAAATCTTCTCAGGACCCTTTCGTGCAAGTGTGTGTGTGTGTGTGTGTGTGTGTGTGTGTGTGTGTGTCCCAAATAATCTTAAGAGATGGATCAACCTCTGTTTCCTCTGACATCTTTGCTCTCTGTGAAAGGATCAGTGGTGCCTCCTTGATTGGCTGGCTTGATTAGTGAGCTTCCCCCTGCTAGACGGAGAGCACCTCAAAAAAGACCCAAGATGCCTGACTGAGTTTCTTCCAGGTTGTTTGAAATGAGCCAAATAGAAAGGCTCCAGGGAAGAGGTTCTGTCAAATTACACCGTTTGGCTTTTTCCTACTGATGCTTTTCTACCATTGTGGAAAAAGTTTTAAAACGTCTTTTCTTTTTTGTTCTTCAGATGAGTATAGAATCAAACCGGTGGAAGAGGTCAAATACATGAAAAATGGGGCAGAAGAGGAGCAGAAAATAGCAGCCAGGAACCAAGAAAACTTGGTAAGAGTCAAATTTCTCATATAACAATGAATGTTGGTGACTTCACTGTAATAAAATCTGCCCTGCATGTTCAAACTGTAACTTACACTCTGGCACACGATTTCTTGAAAATGCTGTCACTATTTATAGCTTGCCTGGAAGCTGCACCATTACTCCTGCATCCTGTTTGTTCCTGAATAAGCCCTTCTTTAATCTTGATAGAAAATGCTTCAGGGAAAACATAGCAAATTTATGTTTTAAAGTGGTCAAACTTAAAGGAAAAACCATAAGTCGAATTAGGATTTAAGAGGAAGGCTATTATTTTTCTCCTCCACCTCTTTTCACTTGTATCCAGATCAGGATGAATGGCTAAGTTTCACTCTTTGCATACTTAATGTGGGGAAAGTTACCCTTCAAGGGAAAATGATGTACTTTAAAGGCTGGTCTCTAGCAGAACGTGTATTTCACATGATAATGTTAAAGGTATTGCAGGTTTTGTGTTAATGTGAGAATGGTGGAGATCTGAAATAGAAAGATAGGAAATGATATGAGATATGAATTTTTAAGATATGAATCAGTATACCTGTCTCTAAATGGAATTTTGTTTCATGGACTTTAAGTATTACAGGTCACAGATTGTTGTCATACCTGTTATTATTTAGTGGTAATATGTCATCCATGTTAATCTTTTATTTCTATAAAATCCCTGACTATCACATGAACTGGATTTCTTAAAAGAGGTTGCCAACTTAAAAGAATGTGTATTTATTCAGTTGTATTGGAGCAACATTTTTTTTTTTTTTTGTATTTTGCTTGGGGATCATTTGCTATTTTTTCATGTTTGAATGAATATGATTTTAAGAAGCTTGTAGTGCATAAAATACGTCCTCTTGACAAACTCTTTTTTCCCTTGTGCTTTGTTTTGTTTTTATGATTTCTGCTACAGCAGCATGTAAGCTGTGCCCATGCATATTTAAGGCTGTCACTTTCCATGATGCACTAATGAACATAATAGACTTAACTCTCCTCTGTTCTTCCAAACCTCCAATCTCCAACTCACAACACTGAAAGTATCAGTAACTGAATATGTCAGGTCATTTTGAAGAAGTGAAAATCCTCTCTGTAATAAGAGGTCTCTCTCTCTAAATGAGATTTCAACTCGACGGTGTCACTTGAGTCACAGGGATTCATCAGACCTCCTGTATATTTTAAACTAACATTCCAATAAAGGAAAAGGTAGCTATGACTGAAGAGTGGAACCTAATGTAATTATCAGACTTTTTACTTGATATTTTTTTTTCACTTTGAATAGATAAGCACTTGAGCATTGGTAGTCTTTTTTTCTACTTTATTTCCTAAAAATTAGTCCTTGCTTGATACGATTTCAACTTCAGTTTCAAAGCTTATCTTTAGCGATAATCTTTCCATCGAGGAACACCAGTGACCAGCTTGATAGCAGCTGTTCCTGGGATCTAATAACTAGTGTCATTAGATTTTACATGCTTGTATATGAAATACTAAGGGAATGACTTTTTTATTCATTTTGTAATTTCCTACAGCATTGCTCATTTTTGTTCAGTATTTGATTTCTCCCCTCAGGTGTGGTCCTGTTTTGTTCTCCCACCACCAAATCACCCATGACTGTCATCACAGTCCCTGTGCTCTTCCTCTTCTGTTTTGGCCCCTCCCCCAACCCTGCTGGGTGCCTCAACCCTGTGGTCAGCTTGCAAGTTTTATCTTTTCCTGACCCCTTCTTTTAGTTTCTCTATATTCCACATATAAGTGAAATCACCTGCTATTTATTCTTTTCCTCCTGACTTATTTTGCTGTATCGTTAAGGGAATGATTTTTATATTAGAGACTGTGAGCTTTAGCTTATCATACGTAGGACCAACATGGTGTTTTCCTTCTCTCTGCTTCATAACCATTCACTTCTTGGAGCCAGTGAATTCTTCTGCAATGTAGCCAGCATTGGCACTGCTGCTTTTCTGTACAGACTGAGTAGAGCTTCAGAGAGAGAGAAAGTGTGGCATAATTTACTGGTGAAACATCTGTGATAGCCCAACCTCTTTACTCTGCCAGCCAGTCAAAGCTCAGACTATGAGCAATTTATGTAAAGGTATGCATGATGAATGAGGACTAAATGGTTATCTGTGATGCTGAGATTTCTAAATGACTTGCCAAAATTAAATGGCTTTCAGGCATCTGGTGATATGTTATATTTGTCACCTCCTCCCTCCTTGGAATGCATAATCAAGTACTGACCGTGCATATTGTTTGAGAAAATGAACAGACTCCAACATATGAAGCTTCCATTGGAAGTTGGATGAACTACATTGAGTAACGTTTCAATTTCATCCTAACATCAGCTCAGAATCACGAAGTTCTTATGTTTTAAAGGATGATGTTCAAAAGAGATAGGTTGAAGTATTTTTAAGACTTCTTTTACTCAATGGTTGAAAAGAAGAAATGTGACCGGCCTGAGCACGCACTGTAGCGTGGTAGTGTGACTCTGACTCTGGAGGCAGGAACTGCCACCCATTCAACTCCAGAACCAAGTTCCTTTGCTTCTCAGTCTCTGTCTAGGTGAAAGCGCCTGGGTGGGGTGTGAGCATTTCCTGAGATAATTGCTGTGAGACTTTGAGTGTAGCACCTGTTGCATGAGCACCTAAGGAAAGTGGAGCATTTTCATCTAGAACAACAGGGAAGAACACAGAATGGTAGTGCCAGTGATTCTTTCCTTTATTCTTCATGTTGCCTCGAGAATGGTCCCTCCGTTTTCCTAAGGCTTGGACTTGCGCACTCAGGTCCTGAGCACTTACTGTCTATTGCCTGGAACACGTTTTCCCCCTCCTCACTCTACCCCTCCTTTTTGCCTGGTTTCCTCTTATTCAATCTTGGGACCACAGGCTAAATGTCACTCTCCGTGGGAAGCCTCTTCAGACCTCACCAATGGGGCCAATTTTCTTTCTTTCTTTTTTTTTTTTTAAAGATTTATTTGTACATACAGAACTGGGGTACAGGCCAGAGGCTCAGGGGTGGTGAGAGGCTTCACCAGA